ACCTGGAACTTGCTATGTAGACCAGGCTGGCCTTGTACTCAGAGACCCACCTGCCTCTGCCTCCCGAGTGCTGGGATTAAAGGCATGCACCACCATGCCCAGCAAGATTTGAGTATGTCTCTGTGTGTGCCCTCAGAGTCCAGATGAGGGAATCAAATCCCTTGGAGTTGGAGTGATAACGCAGTTGTGACCTGCCGAATGTGGGTGCTGAGAACTGAACACAGGTCCTCTGCAGGAGCAGTATGCACTCTAAACCACTAAGCCATCTGTCAGCGCATGATCTCATGTGTCATGAATGAGGTTAAATTATATAAAATTATATGCTTTCTTGTTTTCAGTCCCACTTAGATTTCCTTCACCAAGTGATTTGTCTGTAAACATTTACATAAATACCTCTTCAGTCTCACACGAAGTCAAGCCCCAATCGTCCTTTAGGTCAGCAGGACTGGTAGCACTGATGGCTGTTCAAGAGCATCCTGTGTATCATGAATGCTCTTTGGTGGCATCTAGCCTGGTACCCAGGTGCTAGTCTTCAGTGCTCATACCTGTTAGATGCTCATAGCACCTCCCTTAGCCTGGGACTATCAAATGACTGTAGATATTGCCAGATGTTCCCAATGGAGTAAAATCTCCCTGAGAGCCAGTTATTCATGGGGGTGTCCTGGGAACTTTAGATATACTGACATCCATGTGCATCATTGGGGATACTGATTAAAATATTGGGGTAGAGTCCCAGCTAGGCATCGGAGCCTTTTTAGTTCTTAAAGTGTTTTATTAGCATAAATTCATTGTACAAAGCAATGAGTTTCCTGGCATTCTAGAATATCATATACTTTGGTTATATTCACCTGATTACCTTCATCTCACCAAGTCATTTGTATGTGGAGGGTATGTGTAGAGAAAGGGGCATATTGTATATATACATGTGTGTATGTATTCTGGGTTCCACGCAAGAGAACCTTTCTGATTCTAGTTTGTTTTGCTTAGTATTCTCTCTAACCCCATGCATTTTCCTGCATGAAATTGAAGATCAAATGGGAGAAGGGAGCCATTTGGAGGGGAGGGAAGGGGGGCAGAGGAGGTCAATATGGAATAGGAATGAATTAGAACAAAGTATAATGACACCTAGGTTTGAAAAATGCCATCATGAAACCATTGTTTTGTATGCTAACTAAAGGAAGAGTCCATTTTCTTTAAGGATGTGGTGCCGGGTAGGTTGACACTCCAGGAGACAGACACACACCCTAGAGTATTTGGGGAATACAACCTAGACTTGATAGGTCTTTAAAAAACTAAAAGACACGAAGTTAAGGGACTAAGGAAGTGGAGGTGGATTTGAGAAGAGATGGGGAAGAGTCTGAATATGATTAAAATACATTGTATGATATTCAGAAAAATCAATAAAAATATTTTAAGCGAATAGAAAAAGAACTCTATTAGCAATAGAAAAGCTGCATCTGTGCTAAATGTGCACTATTCTTGTACTGTGTTGCTCAGGGAATATTGTCAACTATTTACATAGCCTTTACATTATATTGGTTATAAGTAATCTAGAGATGGTTTAAAGTATACTCCAGGGAAATGTATGCAGATCCTATGCATATACACCATTTTATGTTGCTGAGTATCCACTGATTTTGTTCTTGAGAGATCCGGAGACTTTTAGCTTCAAGACTTTATGTATTTGCTATTTATTGAAAAACTTTTACATTGATTCTGTTGACATGGTTATAGTTCATATGGATTGAGTTAAATCAAAATTATGAATGTTTGCTTCACTTTTCTGCCTACATAATTTGGCCTAAGGAAAATTTTAAGTCACTAAAGTGCTTGCTTTTTGAGTGGACATTCCCATTTTCTCTGACAGGGATGTGCATGGTAAGCAGTATATTTTTCTCTTTCTGCCCTTTACTGTGCTGGATGTCAAACCCAGGGCCTTACACATATTAGGAAAGTGCTGTATAGATGTGGATTCCAATCCCATATACTTTTTTGAGGCAGGGTCTCATGTAGTTCAATCTGGCCTCCAATTTGTTACATAACTGAGGAGGAGCTCCAGCTTCTAATCCTCCTGCCTCCACCTCCCAAGTGCTGGAATTACAGTCGTGCCAGAGATTGAATCTAAGACTTCGTGGTCATCAGGTATGCTATTAACTTAGCTACATTACCAAGTCCCCAGCCCTATAAACTTCAATTGCCTAATAACTGTATTTATGGAATATGTGTGGGTATTTTGATGTATTTAAGTATGAGATGCTTGATTAACATATCTATTATTGTATCTACTTATTTTGTGATAAAATATATTAAAGCTAGCTTAGGAACTTTGAAATATGCAAGAACATATTAACAGTAGTAAATATCACCAGATCTTATTCTTCCTGTATAACTGAAACTTTTTTCTTTATGGTTGGGTGAGGGAGTGCTTATTTTCTGTTTGGAGGTTTTTCTGAGACAAGGTCCTTACTACGTAGCCCAAGCAGACCTAGAATTTCCTATATAGCTGAAGCTGGCCTAATGTTCTCAATTCTCCTGTCTCTCCTTCCCTAGCATGCAGATTACAGGCAAAATATTTTAAAACTTAAAAAAAATGTGAACTGCTATATGATATGGAAGTAGATTAGATGTCCATTAACAGATGGAGAAAGAAAATGTGATACATGGGCATAAAGCAAATTTATGCAACTGTAAAGAAAAACTCAAAAAATAAAGAAAAACGATCTTGTGACATTTGCAGGAAAATGTGCGGAACTAGAAATATGTGACATGAAATAACCCAGGCTCAGACAAACATGTTTTTCCTTATATGCAGAACCTATATTCAAAATGACATTTATGCATGCATATGTGTATATATGTATGTGTATATATGCATGTACCTATGTGTGTATGTGTATATGTGTATACATGCATATTCATACATGTGAGCATGTGTAGGTCATGGAACTAGTAAAAGGATCATGAGAGGTGAGGAAGATATCTTAAGGGAAGTGGGGAATAAATAAGATGGAATATGTGTAATAAGAACTTAGACTAGGAAACTGAGGAAAGGAACCAACCAGAATCAGAGACACAGGAGAGGGCTGTGGGGGAGGGCATAAATGAGACAAAATGTGCTGGCATGGATGTGTGGAGATGGCCATGGTGAAACCCATTACTTTGCAATTTTTAAAATGCATTCAAAATATTCCATTTTTAATGTTTATTCTTTGAGAGTTTCATACAAGGTATTTGGATCCTACTGCCCCCTCCCCCAATGCCTCCAGATCGACCCCCACCTCGCTACCCACCCACCTTCATGTTCTCTTTTTTCCCTATGGAATCCAATATAAGTTACCTGAATACTATCAAGTGTTGACCCTGTCCTGGGACATGGTCAACCTACCAGGGGCCATAGCCTTAAAGAAAACTTTTTCTCCCAAAGGCCATCATACGTCAAATAGCTCCTTAGTTAGGGCTAGGACCTCGTGCCAAATCTCCATGCTGGGATTTTGGTCTGGCTTGAATTTGCATAGGACTTGTGCATGCTGTCACATTGCTGTGATTTTATATGTACAACTTCACAGCTGTCTGGAAAACAGTTTCCTTGTCACCCACCACCTCTAGCTCTTAAAGTCTTTCTGCCCTGCCGGGACTCAGGTTTGCTTTGCTTTGTGGGGGACCCTACTGGCTTTGGGGCAGAGGGCCTGATCGGTGACAGAGTCATAAACTCTGGGACCTGTGTCTTCCCAACAGGACAATTTATTTCTAAAATTCAGATGGTTTTTATACATCCCAAAGGAACTAGCAGACATGTGGGATATGGCAGTCACAAAGATTTAGGGTACAAAGAAACAGGACATTTAGTCTGTTAGTTGGCACCAGAAGGATTCTTAAACTTTTACTCAAGGTTATCAATGCCCATCCATGGTGAACTTTTAGCTTTTAGCTCAGGAGTAAACTTTTAACCTGGCCTAATCTCTTAGCCAGGGATAGCTGAGTTATTTGTTCAGGACAAGGAGATGAGCTAAGGGCTGTTGACCAAGACGCTTTCCCACAGAGCAGGGAGCCTGCACTTTTATGACAGGACTGCTTCCTCCTGCCAGTCTAGCAGTGTTCTGCAGGACAGGGATTATCAGAGCCACTGTTTTCAGTGCCCCTCCCTTAGCAGAGAATGCAGCCTGGACCTGTAAGTTTTAGGCTCACCTCACCCTAGGGCCTGGCATCCTGGTTTCCTACACTGCCCCTTCTTCAATGATGTTCCCTGAGCCTTGAAGGGAGGGACAGAGCTGTCATTTGGAGCCAAGGACTCCATTCTCACTCATCCTCAACACTTCAGTGAGTTATGAGTTCCTGCATTGATCACCACCTGCTACAGTTAAATATCTCTGGTGAAGGCTAGGGACAGCACTAATCTGAGTATAAACTTGAGTATAAGGCAGTTTGATAGTATGATTGTGAGCAAAACAATAAGAGTGGGCTTCCCAAGAGGACCTATGACCTTCCCAGTCAAGGACCAGGTTTATAGAACCAGGCTTGAGTTCCTTCCTGTAGAACAAACCTCAAATCCAATTGCAAAGTAGTTACCCCCATAATAGTCATGCCAGAGTGAATTCAGAGAGAATTGTAGCCCCTCCAGGGTCTGAGCTCTGAAAGATGCAAATTTCTTTTACCTCTTTTTCAGAAACGGCGTCCCGGAAAGAGTGGCCTGAACTCGTAAGTAAGTTGCCTCATAATTTTTATTCACATGAGATTTGGGAACTTGAGGATTTCTTTTAATAAGGCAAGATTCTGGGCTAAGGACCAAAGGAGATGAAGAAATAAAAGACTGAGTCCTCTGCTGAGGTGGGACCTGTCCCTCAGGTGGGCACTGGATGGAGATGTGGGAGACTCCAGCAAGGCTGCGTCTACTGGAAATACATGAGGGAAAGGGGAGCTGTCCCTTGGCCCTGGATAGACTGGGGATTTTTGTCAGTTTCTTTTTCTTTTTCTTTGAGAAGTTTATACATGCATATAAGTTATTTTGATCAAATCTGCCCCATTTTTAATCCCCCATTGCCCCACCACTACTTTTCCATCCCAACTTTGTATGTTGTTTTTCCTTTTATTAAACCCACTGAGCCTACTTAGTACTGCTTGTACATGGCTACATGGGTAGCCTCTTGGGGATTTTTTTTTTCCTTTTTTTGTTTTGCTTTTTTGTTAGCCAGTAGATTTAATTAGCATTGCTTACAGAAGGATGGGTAAGAGCTTATTTATAGGTGCATAGGCACTTTACTAAAGGAATCGTCACCAAAGAAAATATTTCTCCCGCCATGATGGAATTCTAGCAGGCCCAGTCTTGTGCAGGTAACCGCAGCTGCAGAAAATGTGAGTGCTCCAGCCATGTCATGCTTGGAACATTCCACAGCACTCTCCTTTGCCTCTGGCTCCTGGATTCTTTCCACCCACTCTTCTGCAATTTTCCCTGCACCATGGAGGGGGCAATATAGATGACCCATTTAGGGCTGAGCATCATTCAGTGATCACTTAGTCTCAGCACATAGATAGTTATGAAGATATTTCTCTGGCCAAAGCTGATAGCAACACTAATCTATGGGCATAAGAGTAAAGCTTAGAAAGCAGTTTGACAGAAGCTCAGGATTCTGGGACCTAGAGCAGAGGTTAGTAAACCATAGTAGCCTGAACCCACCATCTGCTTTTCCATATCCCCACAAGCCTACAGTCATTTTTGTCTTTTGAATGTATATGTGCATGCGCACACATGTCACAGCATGTATATGGAGGTTAGAGGACAACTTGCAGAACTCAATTCTCCATCTTTCACAATATAGGTTCCAGAGATCAAACTGTGGTAATCAAGCTTGGTGGTAAGTGCCTTTGTCCACTGAGCCATCTCCCTAGCTCTGTTTTTATATTTTTTAAATTTTCACTTTCATGAAATGGGAATTTTTATTCATTTGTGTGAGTACCTTACCTGCATGTATGTGTACCATGTGTGCCCATTGCCCACAGAGGCCAGAGGAAGGTGCTGGATCTCCTAGAACCTGGAGTTATAGGTGATTGTGAGCCACCATGTGGGTGCTGGGAAACAAAGCCATGTCCTCTTCAAGAGCAGCCAGTGCTCTTAACTGCTGAGTCATCTCTCTAGCCCAGTGTAGGGTTCTATATGACATAGTATGTCCATTTGCTTTTTTTAACCTGTGGCTGCTTTTCCATGTTAAAATGGAAATGAAAAATTACAGCTAAGGATAAATGGTGGCAAAGAAAAATATTTACTGTCTGACCCTTAATAGGGACAATAATATTGCTGACCCTGGTTGTCTTAATTTTCCTGTTGCTGTGATAAAATATCCTGACAAAGGAAACTTAAGGATTTGTAGGGGTTCATGATTCCAGATTACAGTCCTTCATGGCAGTCACAGAGACAGGAGCTTATGAGGACTGGTCATATTTTATCCGCAATCAAGAGCAGAGATCAGACTGGAGACTTGGCACAGCAGTTAAGGGCAGCTGCTGCTTTTGTAAAGGATCTGAGTTCTGTTCAGATTACCCACATTAGATGACTCAGAACTGCCGGTAACTCCAGCTCCAGGGGACCCAATGCCCCCTTCTGTATAGGCACCTGTATATATAAGACATATACTCACACAGACACATGAAAAAATAAATCTTTTAAAAAGAACAAAGAATTAACACATACATGCTGGTGCTCAGCTTGCTGTCTCCATTTAATGCACTCCAGGATCCCCAGGGAATCATCCCACCCACAGTTAGATGGGTCTCCCCACATCAATTAACAAGGCATGTCCCTCATAGACATTCTCAGAATAACCTTAATCTAGACAATCCCTCACAGGTGTGCCCAGAAACCAAATAAACCTATCCATCACCATCCATCGTGTACATTTGAACCCAAGAACTTGAGATAAAAGTGTGTTCCTATTTTTTATAGTATCTTTCTGTGTAGCCCACTCTGGGCTCAAACTTGAAATCCTCCTGCCCGTACTTTCCAAGTGATGGAGCTATATTTACAATCAACACTTAACCATCACACTGGCCAAAATGATTTGAGAGAAATTTTTTTTTCAATTTTCTCCTTTTTTGAAATCACTGGTATGCTTTAAAATATGACTTGGGCTTAGCCAGATGTGGTGGTACACGCCTTTAATCCCAGCACTCAGGAGACAGAGGCAGGCAGATCTGAGTTCAAGGCCAGCCTGGTTGGTCTACATAGTGAGTTTCAAGCTGGCTGGGGATACAGGGAGACCCCGTCTCAAAAGAAAAGACTTGAGCTCAAAGAAACAGCAAACTGAAAGATGGTTTGGAAAATTTCTCCATAACCATTCATGCCTAACCCCAGACCATGGATTCGAACATGCTTTCTGATGCTGTGATAAACACCATGACCAAAAGCAACTTGGGAAAGAAAGGGTTTAATTTGGCTTATTTCCCCATCACAGTCCATCATTGATGGAAAACCTGGAGGCAGGAATCTGGAGCACAGTCCATGGGAGAATGCTGCTCGTTCTTAGCACTGCCTTCCAAGCTCCCACAGAACAGCCTATTAAGCTCCAAGCCCCAATGGCTTTTCCAGCCTAAAAGTTCCAAACACTTCTACACCACCTGAATGCTTCTAGGGACGTGTTATTTCAGTTGATAGTATAGCAGATCTGAGATTTGATGGTGCTTTAAAGAGAATAGTACTTGATATACTAGTTGAACATTGAGTAGGTCAACACCAGATAATGGGTTTATTTTAATATATAATTGACAGTTGAAGTTTATCCAAGACGCACAACATCATGGTTTGATATTCAGGTATTTTGTATGATTATTACAACCAAATTAACCCATCACCACCCACAGTGTACATTTGAACCCAAGAACTTATGAGATAAGTGTGTTCCTATTTTTTTAAAGTATCTTTCTGTGTAGCCCACTCTGGGCTCAAACTTGAAATCCTCCTACCTGCATTACTGTGCTCAGTATGATTTGGCTTTTTTAGATTCCACATTTAACTAGGGTCATACAGTGCTTTTCTGTGTCTGACTTCTCACTTCATGTTTGTTTTAAATCATTTTTCATGTGTTTGGGGGGTGTGCACAAGTGTGGGTGCATGTGCACAATACCCATGCTCACAGAAGTCAGAAGAATATAGGATATCCTGGTCTATCACTCTGTTCTTAGTCCCTTAAAATAGGATCTCTCACTGAACCTGGAACTAGACACCAGGCAGCCAGAAAGCCCCAGCCCCAGCAATCCTCTTGTGCTCTGACCTGCAGAGCACTGGGGTTACAGGTACACACGGTCACTCCTGGCTTTTTATGTGGTCTCTGGGGATTTGAACTTAGGCCCTCGGTCTTGCACAAGTGCTACTACCCCTGAGCTGTCCCCTTGTTTAAAACGTTACTCTTAGCTTCTATAATAATGCTATCTCAGCTCTGTAATTTGCATGGCATAAGTTTTTACCTTCACCACTTTTTAAATATCTTTTCAATTCAAATCTTCAGAATCGATGACTGCCCATTTTCTCAACATACTGTGTTCTCCTTGGCTGCTGTCACCTGGAATCTGGCCAACCAGTCACATCCTGAAGATTTGCTAAAGAATGCTTTCCATCTGGAATTTGCCTGAATTTCAGATGTTCATGGCAAATTATCTCCTGGGCGTCTTTCCAAAAATTCTATAGATTTATCTCCTTTGTAAAAAATCTCTGCAGATATGTATGATGTGTATGTGAATGTACTCATGGTGAATGTGGGTATGTGATGTGGGAAAACAACCTTGGGTGTTGGTCTTTGCTTTCCATCTTGTCTGAGACAGGGTCTCTTGTTTGCTGCTGGATACATCAGGCTAGCTAGTGCATGAGTGCCCAGAATTTCTCCTGTCCCACCGTCCTCCTTGCCAGGGCAGCAGTGGGATTAGAGATGTGTGGTACTCTGCTCAGCTTTTCACAATTCATTATGTGTATGAGTGTTTTTCCTGCATGTACATACACCTGGGTCATGCAGTGCCCATGGAGGTAGAAGAGAGCATCAGATCCCCTGGAACTGGAGTTATAGACGGTTGTTAGCCACCATGTGGGTGCTGGGAACTGAACCCAGGGCCTCTGCAAGAGCAGCTAGTGCTCTTAACTGCTGAGCCATCTCTCCAGTCCTCCTGCCCCTGGATCAGCTATGGACTCTAGTTATTCCAACTCAGATCCTTACACTTACACAGCAAGTACTTTACCCACTGAACTCTCTCCCACCCCTTAACTCACTTCTTCATGACCCAATGTTTAGCTTCAAATTCTGCAGCTCCTTTTATAATCCACCCTATCCCTGTGGTTCTTCATTGCGGAATCCAGGGAGTTACTCCTTGAGGCTTTCTAATGCATTTGGGGATGCTTAATGCATCTGTTCCCCACACCATCTAATGTCACATACTGCATAACATTTTAATTGATATACCGCATATGGCAGCAGTCACTTCAGATGAGGAGGCTGAAAAGTCCTCTTACCTGGTGACATCAGTGTTCCAGCATCACAGTGTAAAGTGTTAGTCATGTGTTGGTGGTGGTGCTGGTGTAAATAACCCTGTTATACTGCATTGATACTATAGACATATAGTTGTATGCTGGTTAGTTTTTGTCAACTTGACCAAACTAGAGACACCTAGGAAAAGGTAACCTCAACTGAAGAACAGACGAGATGGGCCTGTGGCCACGTCTGTGAG